GTGTGTCTGTAGAATACCACAACCGTCGTATCAGGTGCATATTATATCACCACTCAAGTTATTCGTCTTATAGTATATTTCCATTATAGTGTTAGTTCGATATTATATTACCCTCATGGTGTTTGAATATATTTTTGTAATAAAATGGTATCGCCACAATCACAGTGTCAGTTATTTTATGTATTCTATTCCAAAATACCACAACCATAGTGTTAGTTATTTTGTGTATTCTCTCCCAATACACCGCAACCATAGTGTCAGTTATTTTATGTATTTTCTTCCAGTATACCACAACCATAGTGTTAGTTATTTTGTGTATTCTCTCCCAATACACCACAACCATAGTGTCAGTTATTTTATGTATTTTCTTCCAGTATACCACAATCATAGTGTTAGTTATTTTGTGTATTCTCTCCCAATATACCACAACCATAGTGTTAGTTATTTTATGTATTCTCTCCCAATATACTACAATCATAGTGTTAGTTATTTTGTGTATTTTCTCCCAATATACCACAATCATAGTGTTAGTTATTTTGTGTATTCTCTCCCAATATACCACAATCATAGTGTTAGTTATTTTGTCTATTCTCTCCCAATATACCACAATCATAGTGTTAGTTATTTTGTGTACTCTCTCCCAGTGTACCACAACCACAGTCACAATGTTAGTCGTATAATATGTCATAACCTCTACTTGATCTATGCTGTTCTTCTACAGACACACGATAGATCTGCACCACAACCACCGTATGAAATGCATATTATATCACTACTCAAAATATTCGTCTTATAGAATACTTCAATTACAGTGTTGGTCCTCTAAGAGATTTCTTCTAATAAAGTGGTAATCCTGAATTCTAACACATTTGTGTTTTAGTCTTTCAGCATGTCGTCGTCATGGGTTTAGTACTGTGGACTGTTTCTCTGCCACAGTATTAGTCCAATAGTGTACTGTTAGTTATAATCACAGTTCCAATACTATTATATATCATCAAAATATTGTTTGTTCTGTTGTTTATGTGACAACTAAGTTTTAGTATTGTAGGAAAACAGCATCCAGTGATACATCCCTCTAGTCAGTCTAGTGTATCGTTATCTCACTGCTAGTCCTATATTGTATCAGATTTACAGGACGAATCCTACAGAGTATCAAAACCACAATGTTAGTGCTATGATATATCAAACCTACTGTGTTAGTCCTATAGTGTTCCATCACCTCAGTGTTAGATCTATTATTTATCATCACCACCCCCCTCTTGCGTTATTTCTATTGTATATGACCAAACCAATTGTTAGTCCTATAATGTTTCACAACACTATTGATCAAACAATGACTTTTCGGCCACCCCAGTATTAATCCTGTATTGTATCACCAATAGCCGTATAGCGTTTTTCCGACACATTTATATTTCTATATTGCGTAACAACTATCATGTAAATGATCACGGCAGTATTAGTTCTCTACTGTATGTTCACTAAAATGTTAGTCTTAAGGTTCATCACCTTCATTATGCTAGTCCAGAAGTGTACTCCACTATCATGTTAGTTCTGTAGGGTATTACTTCTTGGTTTTTGTCATGTAGTGTATTAATAACATGGTTTTTATCCTATAGTTTAGCTATAATACAGGGGTTTAGCGCTGTACTGTGGTTAGCGTGCCTTGCTGTGGATATAAGGTTCCGTGTTTTGCGATCTCCATGTCGGGACCATGGTTGCATTATAAGAGTGGCTGTCAAATCCCATATTCGTTGTGACAAGAGCCCAAGAGTTGGTGATAGGTGTAACTTTCTTCTTGTCTATCACTAGTGCAAATAGCTCTCGAGTAGTTTTACAGAAAATTCAACAAATGAACAGTAATAGTTTATGTTCTATAAAGTATCAATATCTCGGTGTTTGTCCTTTAT